CACATGTAAGATGTGTGGGTGTATATAAATTAAGCAACATTTGACACAAAGAACAGATATTGCACTTTGAATTTGGCATGCCTTTTAAGCAGAGGAATGGGATTAGTATGTTTTTAACAACAAACTCAGAAATATTTCTCTATTTTACCCACTTTTTTGTTTTCTGTATTGCTTTGGGAATGTTTACTGCTAACACAAATCAGTCAAGCTACAAAGAAACAAACAGAAGAAAAGTGAAAGAAATAAGATGTGACTATTAATGAACATTCGGAATATGATGGTAGCCTTTAGTCTAGTCTAGGTGAATTTTGATCTGAAATTTTCACTGTATAATTTTTAATCTGTGGGATTAATATTCACTACTTAATTATATTAAAAATAAAAAAAATTACTATGTAAGTAAATGTTTTTTTTCTTCTTCACTAGGCTATGGTTTATATGCATTATGGGAGACACACCCTGGAGAAATAGAAAACACTCTGTTTATTAATTATATAAACAAAATGAATATTTCCAAACTTCATTTACATTTTCACTTTTCCAGTATCACTTCAGTAGAAACACCCATTCTTTAATTAAGTCTGGTAATGGTGAGATTAGCTTTTTCCTTACAAGAAACATTTGGCATTCATTGACCAAACACTGAATGCTATTGGCAGCTGAAATTTATTAAATCTTTCTCTTAAAACAGCCATTCAGGAAAATGGGTTTCTAAAGTCTGTTACCACTCCAGTATTGGTGGGAGTTACCTTTCTAACCTTTTATATAAGATATTGTAAAAAGTCAACATACTTATATTGTTATTTTTCCCTTCTAGTTATGCATGGTATCCGTTTTAGTTGTTGCTGCTGTTGGAAGTCTTCAAGTGATGTGGTTTCTGTTATTTGGTAAAGTTCTTCCTTTGTTATTCTGTAATGTCAGTCAACAAGATTTGATGAAGGATGGTCCTCTCCAAGACTTGACTTGATTCTGATGAAGTATTTTCTTTAAGATCTAGAAGATTCATTCACTTATAACCAATTTTTTTTTTCCAACCCAGTTTCCACAATATCACTTGATATTGCAGAGTTATTGACTGGTATGTTATTAGTTGAACCTTACAAGGTTGACTCATGGGAGTTACTGCCTGGCTAAGTAAAATAATGGATTTCCTAAATACTCACTCACTCACTTTGTCATCATTTATGGCATGCCATTAACAAGACTTTTTTTTGAACTGATGGAACATCACAGAAAAGTGAGTTCATGAATTTTCCAAGTGTTTTAGCTCATAATGAGCATAAACAACTCTAGCTGGAACTCAGTCAATTTACTAATTTTGTTTTCTCTACCAGTAACCATTACATTAATCTACACTTTTGTGCGGTATGTGTATGTACGTATATATATATATATATATATATAATGTCTGGGGGGGTATTTTTCATTTAAGCACTACTGAAAATCACATCCTGTTTTAACATTTATTCTTCATATTTTTTTTTCTTACTTTCCATACAAAATAACTGACATTTGGTTCCAATGTGTATTAAAATTGTCTATTTGAATATTTCTGAGTGCTTTCAGTCCACATTGGTTCATTTCAAGAACAAAACTGTTATGGTTTTGAAATTCAAGTCAACTTTGATGCATTTATTTATTTTCTTCCTTTTTTTTATCGACATGCACATGCTAACTTCATTCAAGTTCAATCCCCATTGAGAGGCACTGTTTCTTGTTTTTAGGTGACTAGACATCAATTTCACTGTTTAAAATGTTTGTGCACACGTATATACATATTGTAGCAGCAACCTTTCTTTTATACATGTTTTATTGAGTGTGATGACAAAGGAAAATTTTGTAAGCTTTTAGTTTTGTTTATCTAGAGTCCTTATATTTTTTTTTTCTTTTATGATGACTAAGAATGTGTAGAAACTGTCCATCATGATTATTGTGACAAGTGCATTCAGCTAATTCTTTAGTCACTTTATCCCCTTGAAAATAGCTAAAGAATTAGCTGAAAGCACTTGCAACAGTAATCACTATGGACAGTTTGTTCAAATTTTTCAGTCCTCATAAAAGAAAAAAATGTAAGCACAATAGTATGTATATGTATGTATAGCCAGCCACTCGTATTCAGATACCCATCTACTAGGGCAGCTAGCTAATCCCTATTGCAGATGCTTGCTCAGGTGCATTTGTGTTTATTCAACACCCACGGAGCCCACCTGTGGTTTATACTGCAACTATGTTGATCCGACCTTAGATACAGTTTCTGTGAAAGAGCATGATCAACAATTTCAACAAGGCCAGGACGCTCAAGCCCTCAGCCATGATGACTTGTGACTTCATACTAGCACAGCTATCGACAGCCTCCACGAGTTCTGTCTACCCAATTTCACTCACAATATTTGGGCCAACTCATACTATGGTTTTCAGGCATTCCAAAGGTGCTGCATGCTGGAATTGACTCCTCTAGTTTGATAACTATTTACCCATAGCTTGGGGCAAGGGAGAAGAAGAGGATTCATACCTTTCCGAAGGGTATTAGCATGTAAGTGAATGTAATGGATTCAAATGGAATTTGAACTTGGCTCTCTGATTCCTTAATCCGAGCCGTTATCCACTGTATAGTTTTTAAAAGCACATTTTTTACAACTGGATGCTCTCTGATACTTCTTTTATTTAATTTTCTTTTTTTTTTTTTTTTTTTTAATTATTTACAAAATAAATGTGAAGGCTAAAACAATGTACAACAGATATTTAAAGCCAGACACCTACCTCACTCAGCATAATGATTAGTAATCTGATCAATTGGCTTGTGCAGTGAGTTTGCCTTTCACTTTCAGCTCCACAACTGATTTTGTCACTGATTAACTTTAGCTTAGTCATGAGCCATAAAGCCTGCTTGGTAGGCAAGACTGTTGCATATTTCATACAAATTTGTGATATATCCTTTTTAAGAACTGGACAATAATGGCTCTTGGTAGCTTTCTGTCTTCTGTGGTTATTTGTTTCAGTTCTGAAGAAGATGACCCACTTCACACCATTGTCTAATATTTGTGATCTAGAAATTTTTTAGCAGTGATAGTCACCCTTTACAAGGTCTGGGAGCCACTTGAGGTAGAGGGTTACATTAGGAGGTTATTTGAGTGTATAGGTAAGGGAGATAATGATTAAGCCTAGCCTTGAATAGGTTAAGATTGTAGTGATTGGGGAAACATCCACTTGGGAGTCAGTTCCACAGGACAATAATTCACAAGAAGTTGTTTGAGTGGAACTTCCCACCAATGAAATATGGAAGGGAATGTGGATGGTTTACTACTATGGAAGTGGTATGGTATGTTCTTGCCATGAAGGTTTGCCTTGGTGGGACCAAGGAATGTAGTTCATCCAATCACTTTCCATGGAAGTAGCAGTAGAACAGCAAGAGGTTTGCCACATCCTACCTGTGGGAGAGGGATTGAAGGGTGGAAAATAATTTGTCACCTACAAGGACTGACATTTTTGAACTCTATCAAGGCTGGAGTATGAGGTCTTGTCAGCTCCTGCCCAGATATAACAACAGTACTCAAGGAGGCACAGTGGAGTAGTGGATAGCAGCTTGGATTGAGGAATCAGAGATCCGAGCTTGAATTCCAGTCAAATCCATTACATTCACTTACATGCTTATAACCTTGGGAAAGGTATGAATCCTTGTCTTCTCCCTCCAGCTATGTGTAAATAGCAGGGCAGACCAGGTTCTCTAAACTTGGATGGCAAATGGTCTACCGCAGAAAGAAATGGCAACTTACTGCAGGAAAAAAATCTGCATCGTCAGTCATGTATCGAAAGATACATGATCACCTAAGCATGTATCACACATGACTGTTTTTGGCCTGATCTGACTTTTGATTGCAATGATTTTTCTTTGGAGCTGTTTATCATTGTCTTTTTCGACAGTGTTTTTATCATGTCACTATCTCTAATTAGCTGTTAAATTTTGGAGTTTATCTGCCAGTTGATAGGTTTTATTTTCCTTCATCCTACCAAAGTGGGGTGAGAGAGCCAGTTTAATTATGGGCCATCTAACAAGAATTAATTCTTTTTAAGGTCATCTTTGTTGTATATAGCAAATACCAAATATGCATTCGCCATTATAGAATAGAGTAACATTCAAGACTATCACATCCTCACTATTGTCAAGAGAACAGGCTATCATACGTATATACAAACTGTTAGACAACTACTTGAGATATGATGAGATCAGTTTCAAATCTTATCAGAGATCAGTTCAGAAGTGAAACAAATAATTACAACTTCTAGTTCTGCAGAGTATCATCCAGTATTAACAATAATAAACATCAGCTACCAATGGCATACAATTTTAGTTACCTAATTCAGAGGAAAGACATAAACCACACTGGAAGTGCCACTGAAGTTTATGAACATACACAAAAGTATACAACACACCTCACTTGGAAAATTGACACAACACAATCTTCCTGCTAGTCATTTATTTGGATTTGTGCCATAAGTGATGAGCTTAGTAGATACAAAAGATACATAAAGTTGGAAAAAAATCCAGGATAAAAGCCCATATAAACAGGGCAATTTGATCTGAAAAAATGTTAAGATGACTCTTATCCTCAAAACTGTCTAATTAAATCTCTCACTGAAGACAGATCTCAGAATTTAGTCTTCTCACTAGGCTCATACAAGTGTAAAGAAAATTTCTTCATATTTTTTATATTTTCTCTGATTTTCTGCATTAAAAGACTAAATTGCAAGTGATATCATTATCCTTTGTTTTGCATTTTCTAACTATATATTCTTGTGGTTTTGTAAATTGCAGTTTTATATTTAATGACTCTCAATGATTTAATACTGTATTTATTTTTCTTTTTGTTCTTTACAGAATTCCAAGGACTACAGAGTAACCAAATGTTTTCAATTCCGTCAAACAGAATAATGGAATGTGTGAGATCATGAAATTGTATAACCCTTATCCAAACATCAAGGAAAGTAAACCATTGAATATCATGGGGAAAGGTAAGTTATCGTTATTAGCATCATACTGAAATAATTTTCTAATTAACCTTTTATTTTTTTTTTTCTTTTGTACTCTTTGAATCCTCACACCAGTAGTATCAGATAATGATTTTTACTGGAAATCTCTCCAAGCACTTTATCAGTATCCGAGTTCATTTTAGTAATGATGGGTGAATACTTCTCTAATTCTTCTGATTACTTTCCAAGTTAGGACAATTCTGAAAAAACCAATGATAAAATGCATATTTTCATTATATATACACACAGAGCATGTGAACAGATTTAAAGAATATTATGATAATTTTAAAAGTTAATCATTTAATACTTTTTCAGGGCGTGTAATTAATGGTTAAAAGAAATCATAGAGCCGAGTTCAAGTTGCAATCAAGATAATTATATTCATTTTCAAAGAAATATCTTTGAGAAATGTATGAATCCTTCTCTGCTCTTTCCAGCTATGGGTTAAATTGCAGGAGAGACAGGACTATTTAGCTGTGGTTTGCAACCAGTATAGAAGGACAATTCTGAATTCAAAGTTGTATGTGACTCTGGCAGGGTATGTACTTGAACTGTAACTAAGATCAGCTCAGTATAGTTACAGTATTGAATCTGTAAGTGATAAAGAAATGCAAATAGGCCTGAGCAGATGGGTATGCTTTGAAACATGCTGCCAAGCTGGAGATGAGAAATCATGCTAATTTGCAATGTGCCTTCAAAACAACTCTGATAGTGATTAAAAAATAAATATATTAATATTTATGAATATTCTTTTTTAAATTTCTTTTTCTTGCCAGCATATTTTTTCTTCACACAATGTAATTTATGCTGTTTTTTTTTAAAAGGATCCCACTGATCTATATGAACAGAGAGCATTAAAGAATATTATGATAATTTTAAAAGTTAATCATTTAATACTTTTTCAGATGGTGTAATTAATGATTACAACAAATCGTAGAGCAGTGTTGCAGTTATGATCATTATATTCATTTTCAAACAAATATCTTTGAGAAATGTATAAATTCTTCTCTGCTCTTCCCAGCTATGGGTTAAATTGCAGGAGAAATAGGACTCTAGCTGTGGTTTGCAACTAGTATAGTATTTTTATTAAAAAAAAAAAAAAAAAAAAGATATATTTTAAGATTTTTTTTTTTTGTGTGTGTAAACCATGAAACACTCAAAGTAATTTTTTTAATGAGTTTGGATTAATGATTTCTTTTTAGTTTTAGCAAAGGCCCAAGTCTTGGGGTCCCCTGGGCTACAGCCCATATGTAAATTTATTACTTTTTTTTTTTCTTTTTATACTATTCTGAATTTTCATTTTATTAGAAAATATAGAAACAAAATATCTTGTCTCTCTTTGCATTGAAGTGAAACTGAGCCTCTCTTTCATAAAAAAAAAAGAACTGCTCTAAAGCACATGTCTCTAAGACAATGGTGCAAAATTCTAGCTGTCTATTATTAGCAACAAAATATGATTCCGTATCCACTCCCTTACCCATAAAAAAAAAACGACTGTTTTTCTCTTTTTCTGCCGTTTATTCTTGCATTCACATACCAACAAGTAGGGAACCATGATTTAAAGCTAGCAGAAATTGTATGTTAAGTGTCAGTCATGTAAGGTTCATTACTAAATATCATTAAAAAAAGATCACTATGTATTTGTGTTGCATATAGGTGTAAATTCAGAAAATTGACTGCAAGATTGTTAACATTGAACAAAATTCAGAACCAAAAGCCATTTCATTTATTTCAGTTCTGTTAAGATATCGATTTGTTGTTTTATGGTTTATCAACCTTTTGCAGGTTATTTAAATCCAGAATATATTTTTAGATTGTAAGAATTGTTTTGAGATAATAATTTACTGATACAAGTGCTACTAATTAACCCACAGCTGGGGGTGAAGAGGTGTATTCATACCTCTTTCCTAAGAGTATTTGTATGTAAGGGAATATAATGAACCCAACTGAAATTAGAACTTGGCTCTCCAATTTTCTGTTATGTTCCATTATCCATTACACCACCCACACATCCAAGCTTACAACACCTGGTATTCCCAAACAGTATTCCAAACTGTCACCCATCAATGACCAAGCTTGATGGTCAATCTTTTTTTATATCAGATGCACTTGTATAATAACTAAAATTATGATGGTGCACTTTGAATTAGTGGAAAATTAGGAAAAATTAGTCACAAAATTTGAAAATAGGAAATTTCGGTTTAGATTTCTGAACAAGGTTAACAGTATTATTTTTATTTAAAGGGATTTATGAAGAATCTATTTTTTCTTTTATTTAGAGAGGCTTAAATCCCTTAAGGAAACCAAAAGAGAAAGGATTATTTACACCTTATTAAAGATTAAGGAATTTAGCATTCACATCAAATGACAAAGAAATGGAAGCCATGTGTTTGGTGTTGCTAGCTTATTAAAAATAAAGATTTCTTTAAATATAAAATAATTAAAAAATTACTCTTAACTTGGGATACATCTTGGATACCTTTCAGGGCTCATTAGTATATCCAAGTGTACCAGGTGAGAAATGCTGATAGGGAAGTCCAGTACTCTTTTCTTTGTTTCTAATTAAATTTTCTAGTTATCTTTTTTGGGGGGCGGAGGGGAAACAGTAGTGAGCAAGCTAGTATCAGAGACAATCATTTGCATAATAAGTTCAGTTCTCAATGGGAAGCTTCTTTGCCAGACTTAACTAAGCCTAGTAAATATCCACATGTTTCACTTGCTGTATGATAAAGATTAACAAGCTAATCATACACACCATTGCACATGCTGCAAGTATATTTCTTCTGCAAAAAGACTAAGCTAAATCTCTGCATTTACAACAACAAAAAAAAATGGGTATCTGTTGCGATATAGTGGTTAGCAAGATGGCCTAAACAACCACTGTAGTGATTGCAGTGAATTCAATCCTCACTGGTAGCTCCACAGGCAGTAGCAAAATTGAAATGTACTGAACTCGCTGTTTACTTTATTACTTTTACTTCAGGCTGTACCCAAAGAAACAGGTAAATGAAATTAAAAAAAAAAAAAAAAAAAAACCCCGCTATATTAATGATAAGAGTGGAGTAGGTAAGAATAGACACATGGATTGGAAAAACCTGCTACTGTTCTCTATCTTGTTTACAAATTCAAATTTGGTTGGCTTCCAAGCTGTTCATTTTAGTGTAAATGGAAAAAAGAGAAATATCTTCATGTTTCAAATAGCATTTGGCAGCAGTGTGTAGTGATGTGCACAAATGAATACATATGTCCAAACACATTTGATAATGAAAAGGAGCTGACAAGGTCTACCTGTCTGTAATTCTTTTTTTGTATTTTCCCAGTTTTCGAATAAAATATTGGAATCAGTTTTGGAAAGTTGAAAGTTAGAATTAGTCTACAGTGATGTCATGTGTAACTGTTATTGGAAGCAAGGCTGCACCAAAAAGGAGGCATCTCTTTGGGTTTTATATATATATATATATATAGAGGAGGCATATCTTTGAGTTTATATATAAAGGAGGCATCTATTTGGTATTTTTATATATATATATATATATATATATATATATAAAAGGAGACATCTCTGGTTTTATATATATATATATATATATATATATATATATATATATATATATATATATATATAAAAGGGTGTCTTGAGAAGATCTCAGCCTGATCAAGAAAATTTTCCAGAATAAATTCTGATATTTGATTGCTCAGATTTTGTAAAGTTGGTCAGGCCAAAAACTTTTCACCACCTCCTTATAGATGTATCTGCAATGCATATCCAATATATCTTAAGGATTAATGTGAGATGAAATGCGATAAGCATGAATGAAAGTTGCATATTCCAAAATGTTGTTCTTGAATTTAGCTCTCAAAATAGCAACACTATCTTCATATTTCATAAATGTGTCTCTCTTGAAAAATTCTGCTATGTACCTTTTAGATATTTCACACTTGAAGATTTGGTTGGTACAATGGTGTGGAAGGTACAAGTGGATTGCTTAGACTACAGATCATTTGTCAGTAAAAAATTATTATTTATAACTTTACATATCTCAGTTCTAATGGTGATGTGTAGCATAGTGGTTAATCTCTTGGAAAGAGAAATTGGTGATCCAGGTTCAAATTCAAACCTCTTCCCGGTGTAGACATGTATATACGTTTTTACCAAAAGTGTCTTTTTCAGACACAGACGAATAAACACATCCAAAACATAATGTTCAAAAACCAGCTATGGACGTTTTTATACATGAATCGTGATTCTTTTTATGCTTTTCTTAGCTTGAAAGCAGTCCAATTGTCAACTCATATGTCTGGTAGCGGTGTTAGCCACTGCTCAAGTACTTCAAACTTATAGTTTCTTAGTTACTATATTAAAAACAAATAAAAAACATTCAGCTGAAAATGAAATGTTTTTCCCAAAAATAGTTATCTTCATCTCATAGTCTCAGTATCAAACGTGTGTATAAAAAAAAATATATATATATTACACATTGACATTACTTATTTACAACTTTCCTACTATCAGGATGAAAAACTGTACTTCTCATTTCCATTCAATTACTTCCCCCACCAAAAAAAGAAATCTCATTAATAAGTAATTTTACTCCAGATTATATGTTCCTTATTTGCTTCTGATCGACCAATTCATTAGATTTGATGCTTTTATCAAATACTCTCAGCAATTTGATTAATTTTATCAGTTAACAAAATTGCTTGCTTCATCAGGTAATAAATACACAAATATTTTGTCAGACAGCCCAAATAATTTTCCTCCTTATTTCAAGTATTTCTGTCTTTTTTATTTCCTGCATGGGTTCAAAGAAATATTAGGCTTCTGGCTGAATTTTACATTTACTCTAATCAGCTTAGTTTTCTTATGATTGTTGTAATCACATTTCAGCTGCTGTACCTGATGGCCAGTAATTCTTTTTTTTTTAAAGCACATACACACACGCATACATATGACACCCACAAAAATTAATCCATACATACAAACACCATAAAATGAACATAATTACAGTTTTTAAGTTCTAGGTTTTAATTGCTTGGGTAGATATCACAACTCCACATTATTCCACTTCAAAAAAAATCCTTTGAAGTTAAATAGTGAAATGTATTAAATTCAGAAAGGTATTCCTACTTTTTACTTATTTAATAATGTATAAATATACATATTTATACTGCGATTAAATATTTTTACCAGCATAAAATAGTTTCTCAATTTTTCAAATTTTTCATTTTACTGCAAAAAAAATGACTAAAGATGCTAATAGTAATTTCCCAACATTTTGGTATTAGATACCCTGCAATGACCAAGCTAAGTGACATGCCAAATACAAAATATATGTCACAAAAGGTTGTATTGTATGCTACTAATGTCTCCACTGGTTTGGAAATAGCACTAAGCACTAGTTATTTTATAACACATTGAAATTTTTCTGATTTTACCTTGGTACCTCGGTCACATGAGATTAAGCATAGTACTAGATTGGTAACTAGTTCTCATTGTTTTACTATTAAAATAGCTAGATGCAAATGTAAGTTCTATTCTAATAGTTTTTCTCATCTGTGGAACTCTCTTCTGGTTTTCTCGCTTCCCTACTAACTACAATCTTCAAAAATTTAAGTGCAACATCAATCACCATCTCCTGTCTTCTGGAGTTCAGTTCTTATATATATATATATATATATATATATATATATATATGTCAACAGCAAGTAATATCAGTTTTGTAAAGATGTGTAAGGAAAAATAGAATGAGATATGGAGAAAAATAAATCCTTGTATTTTTATTTTTGTATTGTTTGATTTTCATTGGTTAAGCAGACTTCACATGCATTTAACTTCTCAAGCAGCATTTGTGTCTATAATTCATGTGTGTAAGTATATCCTAATTCTAGTTTGTCCATTCAGGATTCAGATAATAATGTCTGTTCATGCGTGTCTAATAAGCATTATTTATGTTTGGTGATTTTCTGCATGCTGATTTGGGGATGTATTTTATGTAAACACTGGTTGTGAAAGTGTCACTGATGTTGGAAGTGATACAATGATCCTCTTCTGATGGAAGTCAGATTAAAAAATCAATTTTTAAAGAATTAACTATTTATCAAAAACAAAAACACTTTTTTATGTAATTTCATATACCTGGAAAAACAATTACGTTAAGTAAATGTAGTGATAGCAACAAATAAATTATCAAATAACCCCCCTCCCTCCTTTATTACTAGTAGTCTGGAACCAAAATAATTAATAATAAAAGAAAAATTCAAATTTAAGCATTAAAATACAAATAATAATGGTAATTAACAATAAAGAAAAAAAAAATAGATACTAAAAAAAATAGATACTAAAAAAAAAAAATATACTAAAAAAAAATAGTTTGGATGATAAATTCATCATTTCTATTTTGGGGAACCAATTGCAATGAATAAACTTGATAGAAGATGTTCTATTTTTTATAAATTCATGTGAAAGACATTCTCCTTGATTCTTCTTCTTTTTTTCTTTTTTTTTTTCCAGTCATTTCACCCCAAGCAAGGTAATAAAGCCACTAAGGCATGTTGGGTTACTGTGTGAGAGAATATGAGAAAAAGAAAACATTATTAAGGAGAGAGAACAATAAAACAGGAATTAAGAAAACAGAACAATTGATATTGCATTTACATTTTTGAAAATCAAAGTTGACTGGAAAGCAAGAAGCCAGAAGAGTTCCATAAGTGAGAACTGTGATATAATAAACAGCATGGAATTTTCAGTTAGATCAAGCCATTTAAACAGTAAAATAATGAGACTTTGCCATCAATCTAGTACTGTGCTTAAATTCATAAAGTCTAGTTACCATAAAGGAATGTTTATTAGAATAATTACCATGAAAATATTTATAGAAAAAGCACAGGAAAGCCACATTATGGTGGTGGAAAGTGACTGAGCTGAGATGCCAAGTCAGGATCAATATCATTGCAGATTCTTCTTTGTATTTTACCAAGAATCTCTAAATACATAGCATCAAACCAGGTGTGACAGCAATATTCAATGCATTTACTTTGCATTTTTACTAAGACTTGGAAATATTGCAGTTGACTGATTGTACAGGCAATAAATAGCTGAGTAAACTCTAAAGACACTCCTAAGATTTCTTTAACATTGTCCAAATGATTCTGCTGGGAACTTTTGACTCAACCTAATAAAGATACTTATTGATCTGTAAATGTTTGTTTTTTTTATACCAATTCAATGTCACACTATTCTGTTTATGACTTAATATATCTTTTTCCTTTCAGTTGTATTAAAAGATGGTTCATCAAACAATGATACATTTAATCTTGAGGAGCCACTGTCTAGTTTATGTATGAACATTATCAATGATAACAAAGTCACTTCATCTAATCAAAAATCAGACAAGGATCTTCAAGGAGATTCTCAAAAGAAACAATTAAGCTTGCGAAAACCTGTTGAAGAAGAACTTTGTAAAATTTGTGGGGATCGTGCGTCTGGTTACCATTACAATGCACTTAGCTGTGAAGGTTGTAAAGGTAAGTTACCAAGAATATCTTTCACTATCATACAAAATTCTGCATGCATATAAAAAAAATGCAAATGATAAATAGTTTACAAAGTGTGGTGGAGGGGTGATTGTTTTGTTTTGTTTTGAACAGCTTATCAACTCTTTGAGTTATCCTTACAATCCAAAATATATTTCAGCTTTAAATAATTCTTTTTTGTGAGTAATTATTGCATTTTTCACATTTATTTCTTCATAAATTAATAAATGTTTATAAAAACCGATTTATCTTTTATAGTCTTGTAAATATTGCCAAGAGAATGAACATAATTAAAAATAATTGCAGTTTCAATGGAAAAACCATCCTTTTAATACTTTGGGATTATTTTGCAGGCATGAAGGCCCATGTTTACAAGTCCACACTAAATTCAGTTTGTGCATGCTGTTCAAACTGGTGATCTTTTAAGTCACATCTGGTTTGCCTCCAGTGAACTCATCTTTGTTGCCTCTGAAAAGATTTCTGTTACTAAGATTTGAACCATAAGACTCTTAAAGTTAAATGCACTACAACTTAAATGAACAGTTTTTATGCATTCACAGTTGTATACTATAAAAATGTTATAAGCATAAATTTCTGATCTTGTAGATTAAAAAAAAAAAAAATGAGCCATTTCAAATGTGGATTTTTCTTTCCTTTTCAGGATTTTTTCGGAGAAGTATTACCCGTAATGCTGTGTATACTTGTAAATATGGGGGTCACTGTGAAATGGATATGTGGATGCGACGAAAGTGTCCAGCCTGCCGATTAGTACGGTGTCGAGAAGTTGGTATGAAACAAGAATGTAAGTATAGCAGAAATTTTTGCGTTTTTATATTGTAATGATATAGTAAAGTATTTCTGAAAATCTGGCCAAATGACCAACTGTCAGAATTTTTATTTTTTAGGGGAAGTTCTTTTTAGCACTATCTTGCATATATATATATATATATATATATATATATACTGTATTATAAATTGAAAGTGCTGATACGACAAAAATAAAACTCAATGAAAAGAAAAAAAAGAAATATTAACAAGAAATATAGCAACTGCCCCACTCAAAAAATACAAGAAAATGAGTAAATGAAACAAAAAAAAAAAGCTGTCCCCTACCTAAATAGTAACCAACAGTGCTCTATGCCTAAGTTATCAAGACGGAGTAAATGACTTCACAGCATTACACCACAAAAGAAGCAAAATTCAAATCGCTACTTAAGTTTCATGGTCTCACAATCTTCAGACAAACAGAACACACACATATATATATATATATAGGCAGCATATCTCCATTGAAGCATGTTTCATTAAATAATATAGAAATATTATGTCTATTTATTTTTATAATAGTCCTTTTTAGTTCTCTAACTGCTTGATGTTAAATTGAAATTCATCAAGTTAGGGACCGAGGATTTTGTTATCCCATGTATTTTCGATCTCCTACAAAATCATTCTCAGGTGTGAATTGCAAAGACAAACTTAATGTAACTGTGATTGTTGTGATGATGATTTTTGTAAACATGTGTGAATGTGCTCTGTTACAATTATTTTAGAATTTAAAAATGCAACATGGTGTGCACACACACACACATATATATATATATATATATATATATATGTGTGTGTGTGTGTGTGTGTGTGTGTGTGTGCAATTATTATTTTGTATAAATTATTAATATTAATAGATGCACATGTTTGGATAGACATCCCTGTTTGTTTTTCTTTTTAACCACTGAAATTAATGTCTATTATCCTAGAGATCAACAAGCCCTACTAAAGAAAATGTGCTTCCCAACAGGAATCAAACCTGTATTTCCTTTTTCAATCAGCAAAGCCACCTTTAAGCTAAGTATGCCTTACCAATTAGGTCACAGGAAGCCATCATGACAAAGCAAAATTCAATTACCTTATTTAAGACATGCACATCTCTTATTGGGACCTTTGGGAAACTACATCTGCTAACTTTATTTTCTTAACTGCAACATAAGCAAAATAATTTTTAAGCAACAGAAATGTGGTTTTACAGAAGGATGCTGAGAATACCATGGACTGAAGATGTGAGTAATGACAAAGTTTTAAAGAAAATGGAAACACTTATAACTAACATTAGGAAGACAGTTGAAATTTCTAAGGTACATAATGAGAAAAGAGGCTTGGAAAATTTGATGCTCATAAGACAGATTGAAAGCTAGAGAGACAGAGGAAAACAATGCATAATCTACCCAGCGAGTTTGAGTAAATGGATGTTGAAATAGAATTTAAGCAAGATGACAAATTTATTAAGATCAACAAAGGACAGTAAACTGTGGAGAAGTATGATTGCCAACATCCTTAGGGAATATGGTACATAGAAGAAAACTGGTAGATATTAGACTAATTTCACTGTTTATAAAAAAGAAAAATTTAAATTTAGTAACTATTATTAAGGAAAAATGGATTATGATTTCAGAGCTAATATGATAATACAATAAATTGTGCTGATCTTACAAGCTATTGAAAATGCCCTTCACTCAGACTAAATGCTGAACATTCCTATTATCTCTGAGCATTTATTCAGATATTATCATGCCTTCTGTTTTTCTAAAGATCCTGCACTCTTTGTAAATTACCATGTAAAAGACAAGCAAGCCAAATAACCAAGAATTTCAGCATAAGGACACATAAATTGTTACAACTTTTCTTTCTAGCAGACTTTGATGGAATGCCAGCAACAGAACAAACTCACAATTTCTCATAACTTACATATTTTTGTTTCCTCTGTAAACTGTAGGAGAAAAGAAAAATATGGCTTAAATGTGTTTTTCGGGATATTTTAAGCTCATAACAGGAAATTAGTCACAGGAATTTATTTACATTATTTCAACTGTTTCCCCTCATCTTTATTGCCATATTCACAATGTTTTGGCCATTGAATGCTCTTCAGGTGATTGGAATTTCAAACTGAACCCTTTATTCTGTGTCTCGTCTGATGGTGTCTCACACTGCATCATTTGTGATGCAGTCTATAGAGACATATAGGATGGCTGTATAGCATCTCCTTACTAATGCTTTGATTCTTTGCTGTAATTCTGCTGTTAATGTCCAAGATTTGGAGGCATAAAGAAAGATTGGGAAGACTGATGCACTCAAAATGAATAATTGACAATGCTACATTTAAGAATTATATATATATATATATATATATATATATATATATATATATATGCACCAATGGCTTAAGGGTAGAATCTCTAATTGACACCAATTCAGCCTGGTTTCAATTCTAGCTAGAGGCAACCAGATGTCTAGCCACACTGATGAGCTGTGATACAGTCAAACAGTATGTCTGTGGATGACTATATATATATATATATATATATAGATAGATAGATCTTCAACATTAAATTGTCTATGGTGTGTGTATGTCACCACGAAATGTATCTTTATGCATTAGACATCCAACAACATTCATATTTCTCTTACTTAAACCCCTTCCACTCACTTCTCCTAAAATTCTCTCTGTTAAGGTTTAATCTCCCACCTCTCATCTGTTACACCTCTCTTTAGCTCTAACATTCGTCCCACACTCTCATACTTACATTCTCTCTAAATTCTGTTTTTATTTCGGAGTTGTTTTTTCTGTTTTCTTTTTGAATTTGTAGGTCTGATGAATTGGATCGTATTTACGATTCCAATGGAATAAATTATGACCATGGAATATTAGTGTTTAAGCCTATTATATATATATATATATATATATATATATATATATATATATATATATATATATATATGCCTTTTGATTGGCATTTAATGAGAAACCACCTCCTCTGCTAAAAAAAAAAAAAATGTATATATTAGTAGAGTGTTTGTCTTTTTTTTTTTTTTTTTTTTTTTTTTTTTTTTTTTTTTTTAAATTTCCAATTTCCTGAGATTGTCATATGAATTTTTTTCTTTTCGCAGGTTTATTATCTGATGATCAATGCAAGGCACGGGACGCCCGGCGGAAGGCAAAAAAAAAGCTCAGCAAAAAGCCAGACACAAATATTGAAGAAAAAACATTTACATCACCCAATGATTCATTACCAAATAGTGATAAACTTTCCAGTAAAATATTGCCAATCAACGTCAAGAATACTGATCCGCTCACCAAACTTTCACAACAGCAACAAGAACTTATCAAAAATTTAGTTTATTACCAAGAAAAATTTGAATACCCCGATGAGAGCTATATAAATACAATTAAAAACGTAAGTATATTTATAAACCCATTCTCTCTTTCTCCTCTTTACACAGATATTTCTCATGACAGTATGGCATCCTGATGATCTAATAAGTAATTCCTTTCTTTGGCATCTCTATCTGGGATAATGGGGCATTACTAGGCAGTGTTTATTTCCTCTCCAAGTGACAAGTTGGATTGGCTTATATAGATTGTTCTTTGCTTCTGGTACTCTCTCTTGTTATTTATCCATAGCTAGGAGGGTGAAGTGAACTGACATACTTTTTCAAGGGCATTGGGGTGCAAAAGGAAGGAATACAATGTTTCAACTTGAGTTTGAACTTGGTTTACTGGTTTCATGATTTCTGTTGCTCTTCTTCATCTGTGAGAAGATTGTCCAGCATTCACTCCTATAGAGAAGGACTGATATTATGTAAGAGTTCAGTATTCTTTTCTTTGTTTCTAGCAAAATATTCCTGCTTTTTATACTTAGCATTTGGAAGACATCTTTCACTGTTCCAATGCACTCTGGACTTCAGTGTCACACTGCTTTTTTAAGAGAAAAAAAATGCATTTTTTTTCTCTCTCCCTCTCTTCCCCACACCAGCAGCAAGTGCATGTATATAAGAGTCTATTGCAGAATAGAAGTGAGATGGAAAGTCTAGCTTACTGTCTGAAGACACAAATGGTGGTGAAATGGTGTTATCAGAAAGTTTGTTTTTTTGTTTTTTTTTTTTTTAAATCAGTTTGATGCGAGTAAGGCAATAATGCCAATAAGATGCAAGAGGTTACTGAGAGTGAAAGAAAATGAGAAGACATTAGTGAGGAGATAGGAAAATAAAGGAACCAGATTCAGGAAGATAAGAGATTTTGTGATTGACATTAAGTATAGATGAAATTTACCAATCTGATTTTCCTCATCACTTTCTCAATATTATGAGCATGCTAAGAGGATTATAGAATAAGTTCAGAAATCTGGGTTGAGTAGTAAAAACTCATTTTTAGATTGTAAAAATTTTTGGATATAATAATGATTTACTGATAAAATTCCTACAAATTAACCCATAGCAGGAGAGAGCAGAGGTGGATTCATACCTTTCCCAAGGGAATTTGCACATAAGTGAATATAACAAACCCAACTGGAATTGAAACTTGGCTCTCCAAGTTCCACACACTGGGATCTTTTCCACAGTCTGGTATTAGGAAGAAGTTGACAAACTAACCATGATGAAATTTGAACACAAGTATCATGACCAAAATAGTAACATTGTAACCATTCAGCTATCCATGCATATATACACACACACACACACACACACGTTTTATTGAAGACAACTGACAAGATACTGCAATTAAACTTTTTATTAAATTTTCCTTGCATTTATACAAATGTTTTCTTTTCTGGACATAAAATGTTAAAAAATTGTCCAATATATCCAAGTGCTTTCGGCTATTCTGTTAGCCATTATCAGGGATATTTTTTTAACTATATATATATATATATATATATATATATATATATTATAGTAAAAAAAGAAAGAACAGTAAGATATATAATCCAGCGTTCTTATTGATATTTTTATTTTTATAAAACAGTGCTCAATGTAAATTTACAGAGCATAAATATTATAAATTAACTGATTTAAAATATGGTTTTTCCACTACACAGTAATAACCATGTTTCAAAAATGGAAGCTAAAAACTTCAAATTTAATTTTGTAACTAAATTAAAAGCATTAGTTCCATTTCATCTTTAATCAAATATTGGAATAACTTATTTTTAAACACACACATAAATTCATAATTCCTTGTTTCAAAGGATACAGAGAAATCCAATCATTCAGACAAGGGGTGTTAGCGTGTTCATTTTGATTGGATTTCTATGTATCCTTGGAACTATAAATAGTGTATTTTAAAGAAAACCATTGATTTTGAAATATATATATCACAAACATTTTTTTTTTTTTTTTTTTTTTTTTTTTTTACTTTTATGATGCTGGAGGTTTCAGTCACATGTTACCAAAATGTCTTGTTCTGATTTCTGTGCCACATTTATATATTTACATGTACTTTCTTTTAACTCTGTCACTTGATTTTATTTTGAAATTTAAAGAATTGCAAAAAATGTTAATAAATTAAGTATTCAGTAACCACAGCAACACTGTATATAATCTGATATGTAACATTTATAGATGTTAAACTAAGAGCTTCTCTCACACACACACACACATTATATATATAAAGGTTAATGGTCAGAGTTGAATCAGGCCAGGGAACAGTAGTATTAAAAAGTTCTCAATACACATGAAAAAATAAAAAGTAAAAATAACATGTAGAGCTTTTAACTTTAAAAATCAGGAGGTCATTTCAATCTACAATACACTTGCTATTCAAATACAGGTATCCATTAAAAATAACATTTGAAGTAATACAAATATACTGGATTAAAAATCCATTAATTCTTTAGAAATAAGTTAATATATATAAAAGTATATAAAATTGTAAAGTAGAAACAAATATAATATGGTAAGAAATAGCAGCTGAATGTTAAGATCCAAGCAGAAAATAAAAGTGGATAATAAAACGTATTTGAATAAAACACCCTTTTTTAAAACAATGATTATTTTGTCTACCAGTCTACCCAAAACTTAAAGAAATTGTTTCCTCCAGTACTTTAAGGCAAATAAAAACTTGTTTGGCTATAAGGTTCTCTAGTCTAAACAATGACGAATCAGATGCTGGTTTCTCCTATAAAGAGGGTCACAGGTCCAAATCCTAACAGAAGGCATATTTTCTTTTTTTTAGTTTTCTTGCAGGTAGGTAGATGAAATAAGCTGTTTAAAAAATATGTTGTTCTACTCAAATACATGTATCCATTAAAAATAACATTTCAAGTAATACAAATATGTCAGCATTAAAAAAAAATAAAATCTATAATTTATGTGTATGTGTGTTTACCTTGATAAAGTACAAGATCAAATTGAAAAAAATATAACTGTATGAAGATTGTGTAGTGCCAATCTTCCAAGAAAGTCTACCTGTATATTTTGTAAACAAGTATTCAAATTGCTGAGTTTCAACATGAACTCATAGACTGACCTATAGTGGGGAAATAGCCAGGTCTTATCTCTATCCTCTTGACATTATTAATACCCACAAATAACAGCTCTACTCTATTCCTATGTTTCTCCTCCTCCTCCTCCTGAATTCTTTTCAAGAGTGGCCTATACATATTGTGTGCCAGGTAGAGTGCCAAAAAACAGTATGTGGCAAAATTCATATGGAGTGTGCTGTTATAAAGTGCTTAATAATTCAGTTATTTGATTGCCAAGTCTCCCTGACTGGTTTGTTTGTCTCACTAAGACTATTTTTTTTTCTTTCATTTCTTTATCTTCATTGTGATTCTTGATATCTATCAAGCTTTCCAAAGTCTAGTTTATGATAAACAAAAAATGGGGGGAAGGTGGGAGATTTTCTTATGCCAATTATTTGACTGAGGAGGGCCTGCTTACTTAGAATATCATTTGGTAACCAGTTTTACCTCCATTTTGAATCTCAGCACTCAAGCTTTTTTAGCCCTCTAGGAAGACATGCATTGGGAGGGAAGTGCCGGAGTATGGCCTTGCTCACATTAACCCACTTGACAGGAATGCTTAAAAAGGAGTGAGACTTAACCAACTGCTGCCTACCCCAGTCACTGGGAAACCCAAAGCAGTATAACCAGAGCGCTGTGTCTTGACTTGATTTTTATATATATATATATATATATATATATATATATATATATATATATAGAGATAGATAGATATATCACCCTCATACATGTCGTGTAAGGTAATTAGGAAAAAAATATAAAGAAAAAATGCATTTCACAAATGCTCTTGCAGTGTGCCAGGCAAGCTTCATCAGTGACACGTTCTGGTGTCATTGGAGGTTTCAGATCTGTAAAAACATTAAACTCCCTCTCCCAGCAGACCCAACCAAGAGCAGTCACTTCCTGGCCAGCTTCCCAGCTTTTGTTATTTCAGTTGGCAAAATTTGGCAAGAACTTTTATTGGTTTGATTCTTTTCGGATTTCAGTTGAATTTTTCGGTAGGTATATTAGATAGAAAAAAAAAATCAGTGTGTGTATATATATATATATATATATATATTTTGTCATCCACAGACAGACTGTTTTGCTGTATCACAACTCTTCAGTCTGGCTAAACATCCAGTTGCTTCAAGCCATGATCGAAACCCAACCAATTTGGCATCAGTCAGAGATCCTACCACTAGGCTATCATTACACGACAGAGAGGGAAATTTTAATGTTTTCTATATGAAATATGCTAATGGCCCGGAAAGCTCCAAATCAGTTGAAGAGCAATACATTAATAGCAGTAAGAGCCAACGTTTGTAAAATTACCCTTTTCTCAAGAGTTCAACTGGATTTCCTGGGAGCATATATATTGTCATCCACCGACACTGTTTCGCTGCATCACAGCTCTTCAGTGTGGCTAAACGTCCAATTGCTTCTATATATATTTTTTAAATAGTGCATATTTTCAACTTACAAAAAAAGGGAAAAGCCTCAGTAGTACAGCCTTGGAAGTGAACTGCATTCAGCTGGATTTTGTTCACATTGACCAACACCTAATGGTAGCCTTCAACAAATCTTTCATCTTACAGGATGATTAGTTGTTGTTGTTGTTGTCCCTTTAAACAATGCTCCTAAGACAGTAGTGGGATTCAAATCAGATGAGCTAAAATGCCACATGTTAAGGTGACATCAATGTAAAACTTTTCAGCCAGCCACTCATAGGTCATATATGGCTTGAGTAGGAGAAAAAGCAGATTCTTACTGGACTATGTATGGTCATCCACTGAATCCAGGGTTTGACCACCATGCTTAATGGTGAAATTAATCCTAAGGATGAGCTGGAAGAAGTGATGAGGTAGGATATTGCCCTCATTGTTCACACCCCCCAGGACCATCATAGATGTTAACTTGGTGCACAACATGGTGGATACATCTATGAGATTAATACAGAGCCTCTTGTCAGTGCATCTGTTTCATCTAAACGCTTTCAAGAAGCTGGCTATCTCTGAGTTGCTAACATCATGAGAATGGTATGGTTTTTCATTTCCAGTGTCAGATTGGAGGCTGCTATATTAATTCTCTGATATGTATTTGGAATACACGACTTAACATTACATTAGGTCATCTTCCATTTATAGTGGCTTATGGCTATATTATGTTGAAACACCAGTTCTCGTACAGTCACTGGTTAAGCAAAATTGTGCTTGGTCAGTACTTACATGGGTGACCACTTGGGAATACCAGGTGCTGTAAGCTTGGATGTGCAGGTGGCATAATGGCCAACAGCTCAGAATTGGAAATCAGCGAGACAAGTTCCAATTCTAGTTGGGTTCATTATGATCACTTAAGCACAAATAGCCATGAGAAAGTTATGAACCTTCCCCTCCAGCTATAGGTTAATCAGTAAGATTTGTATCAGTAAATCATTATCTCCAAAAAATTCTTATAATCTAAAAATATATTAAATAATTGGCAAATGTTTAATAAGTTGAAAAAAAAAATCAATCCTTCCATTTTCAGCTTACAAAAGATGTGTTCTCAAATACCTGATAGATTCTGTATGCATTCACACACATGCACATATACTGTTAAACGAATGGATGAATAAGATCACAGTGAAATGTTTGTGTGTCATATTCACCTGCCTTTATCATTTAGCCCATAGATACTTTTTTTTTTATCTCCAATCGAAATACACAAGCATTCTTCATTTTTTTATCTTCAATGACAACCACCGTTCATTAGGCTGTAACTGTAGAGTAAGAGAAGGTTGTAGACTAAGGGAAGGTTGTAAAAGGAATTGAAGGAGAAAAGACACAAGACTAAAGAACATTAACTATGCAAAAAAAATCTTTTTTTCAACCAGCACGATGACAAAAAAAAAAGTGACAGATGTCATTGCTCAGTTGGTAAAGATGTTACTGTTTTTAACTGATCATTCTTGGAAGAAGAAAAACATGGCCACAGTCACTATTCCTGTTTATAGTCTCATATAAACCAGAATAGTGACTGTGGATACATTTATTTTCTTCCAAGTCACTTTTAGTCTAACTTTTTCTTGCAAAATAATACCAAATAAACATAAGTATATTACTAGATATTTAGTTTATAAAATTGCTATTGCTGATGTTATAAAGGTTTTTAAAGGTTTAACATTAGTAAGCAAAAAGAGTTTGTGGCTCACAACACCCATGCTCTCTCTCTCTCTATATATATATATATATATATATATATATATATATATATATATATATACACACACACACATTGTGTTCTTGTGTTAGTGTTATCTACTCTACCTCCTCTTGTGCTTGTTGACTCGCTTTAGAACACAGTACCGCAGCCAAACCACACTAAAATTTTGTGCTACAGTTTCAGTAGCAAGTACATTTTACAGCATGGAATGGAGTTGCTATGGCAAATTAGGAGGCTCTTGCCTTAGTGGAGCAGCCAGTCTAAAAGAAGAATAACTCCAAATTCAAAACCATAGACAAAACAATGGGAAAATACTCCACTCACTTCCCAAAGAATAATCATGACAGCTCACAGGTATTAAAGAAAAAGAGCAATGGAGAGCTATGATCACTTATGTCTTGAAGGGAAACAAAATTGAAGATTTTTTTTTTTTTTTGTGAAATAAGTAAGAACACCTTAAAGATAAAAATTCAAAATAAAAATGCATATTTTCTTAAAAATTGGGGCCTAACTTCACAGAAAGAGTTTCTATCAGAATATTGTCTATATCATTGTTATAGCATTTAGTCTACTCATTTAAGAAATGGAAAACCTGCAAAAAAGGTGTATATCAATTTATACCATTTCAGAATCAAATTGAAATCCCTGATGATAAATATGACAGCATATGAAAATCTAATAATAGTAATAGGGAAATCTTTAAATATATTTTCCAGTTATTATTGTTATCCTCTCTTCTATATTGATCTTTGTTAGCAGACTGTTCCAAGATGTTTACAAACTCACTGTCACTTGATGTTGCCAATACAAGAGAGATAACTCTAGTACAACAAAAAGTTATAGATGTGACTGACAAATAACATACAAATACACTTGGCATATTATATACATAAATGTATTATTATTTTCCAGGTATCCAGTGTAACTACAGATAAAAGTCAAGAAGAATTACAGTCCAGTATGTTAGAACAGATGGCTTTAATTTGTGTGTTCATGACCAAACTTATCATTGAATTTGCAAAGCAGTTGCCAGGCTTCCAAGAATTACCAAAAGAAGACCAAATTGTGTTGCTAAAGGTAATTTACCTTAATTTTCAATGTTCTGAGAATAAAAAGATTAAAAAAATTAAAGAAATCTAAATTTTTACCACTTTTGCCATTTTCATATTTCAGCTGATTTATTCAAAGGTTTTCTTCAAGAAAAAGGGATCGTTTTTTTACAGATAGTGTGACTAAATAAAGTTGTAGCTGAACACTGTAAATTAGATCAACTGAATGTATGTATAGATGAGATTCTCTTCCTGATGAACAAAAACCACACTGCTGACAGACCAACAGATATAAAAGGGTTTACTCAAAATTTTCTGTTAACAAAATTCTAAAGTATAGACCATATGACCTCTAATCTTAAAATATATGAATTATTTTGTTCTTATTATACACTGAATATTTTTAAACTGAATTCACCCCATATAAAGCAGTAAAGCCACTAAGACACAAGGGGTCACTGCGTGTGAGAGAATTAGAAAACAGAAGCATTACTGAAGAACAATAACAATAGAAGAGTAATCAGAAAGACAGTAGATAATGATTGACATTGCATTTAGATTTTTGAAGATCAAACTTGTCTGAAAAGCAATAAGCCAGAAGGGAGTTCCATAAGTGAGAAGATACTGTTAGAATAGAACTTACAGCTACATCTAGCCAATTCAAATGTAAAGCAGTGGGACCTTGTTGCTAATCTAGTACTATGCTTAAATTAATGAAGTCTAAGTACCATAGCAAAAAGCTTATCCAAACAATTACCATGAAAGTATTTATAGAAAAGGCACAGGGAAGCAACTTTATGGCATTGGGTAAGTGACTGAAAGCAAGATGCCAGGTCAGGACCAATAATATTGCTGATTTGTCTTTGGATTTCTAAATATAAAGCAGGAGCAGCAATATTCAAGGCATGGATGGCTGGTAGACTTATAGATATGTAAGATAGATTCATGAGAGAAAAATTGTCTAGCACAACATAGTGAATCAACTTTCTTGACAGCAGACCTAGCAATGGATTCAATATAGTCTTTCCACTTCATGTCAGCTGAGAATGTTTGCTTAAGAAGGTGCAATGAGTCACTCTCCTGGAGGTTAGCATCAGCCATACTGATGGAAGGCAGAAAGGGTTCTCTTAGATGATTACTAGAGAGCAGTTTTGTTTTGAAGGTGTTAAAATTAACAAGCCATCATTTTTGTCCAAGTTAACAGCACTGCAGGTATTTTTGAGATCAGCCACCAATATGATCTTATCAATCTGATCAGACTTACTAGTTACTAGGATCAATGTTTTCATCATGGTTGTTGGCATCACAACATTTCAACTCTTGTTCCTCCAGCCTTCTACAAGTGTCTGTTATAGCTGGTAACCTTCTGGGAATTTAAAACCAAACCCTGGCATTTGGGACTTCAATTCCTATGTTTTGTACTATAAAAAGTCACATACTCTGGTTCAGGGAATTAACTAGAAAGAATTAACTTATATAAGATATCCTCTAGCATAGGCAGTAGAACAAGAGCATTCAACACCTGTGAATTGAATAAAGGGTTCAGATCAAAATTCCTGGAAGTTACCCAACAGATACCTGAAGAAGACCAAAGGGTACACTAGCTGAATAGTTATGCTGATAACAACTAAGAGGAGGACACTAATCTTAGTAAATCTTCTATGTGCCATGTCCCTTCAGGACATGGCTCTTCACAACTTCCTATCCTTTGTGGCCCTTAGAAGCATTTCTCCCTTTGACAAGCCCCCCCACCACCACCACCACCACCATTCCAACATTCATTCATGCAAGCTTGTCAGGTAGGTGACCCATTGCCTTCTCCTGTTTCTCCTGCCTTTGATATATCCTGTGAGGGTTAAGTTTTCCAAGCCCTCTTTAGCATATAATATCTCCTGTTCTCAAAAATTAAGACAAAACTTAATTTGTTCTGTTCTTTAATTTACAAAGAACTGAAATTTCTATAAAGCCAATAAGTTATACTGCCATTTCAAAAATTTTCTCTAATATAAAAACAAGTAAAATTTGACTAAAGATGCTTGTCTGAATTTCATATTTATTGTTGACCAAGAGAAAGATACAAGTTCTCAATGAGTTTTTTTTTGTTTTTGTAGGAAGCATCAAATGAAGTCACCACACTGAGGGCTGCTCGTTGTTATGACCCTAAAAACAGGACAATTGTTTTTATGACAGGAATACCAGTCACTCAAGAAAATATGAGTGCTCTTGGTATCAAAAATTATGCTGAAGTTGCTTTCGGCTTTTTTCACAGCCTGTCTCAGTTATGTACGGACAACACAGAGTATGCTTTACTTACAGCAATCTGCATTTTCTCAGGTGAGTCCCAAATCAAAATTGTATCTATGTATTTGCCATAAAGGATGTGTCTGTTAAAAACAAACTTAGCATCATCTCTTTTTCAAAAGTGAAACTTTTCTATGAGCCACAGTTTAGCTAAGACTATTTATCATATAATTGAATTTTAAATATTTCCATTTAAAATATGTTTGTCCATGTGTGCATAGAGTACTATTTCTCATAAGAAATAAATGAATGTATAATTAAGTAAAAAATATACAGTAGATTTATATGGATATTTTGAGACTTAGTTATCACATTAATCAAGATTTCTGTGTTGTTTATTCATACAGAGAGGATTAGCTTGTCTAGATCCTATTAAATACAGTTAACAATAAATTATTTATCCAAATGAATATTATTTTCCTTTCTCGAATCTCATCATAATTATAAAAATAAATTTTCTTTGATTCATTATTTGCTTTTAGATAAGGCTAAAGAAACTGAAAAGATAAGCGAAAAAATAAATCATTATCAAAATAAAGGGTTCAATTTGATATCCCAACCACCTGAAGAAAGCCAGAGGATACAACAACCAAAACATTGTGATAAATATGGCAACAAAGATGAGGACAATAGTCCAAATAATGTAAATAGTGTACACAATACCTCATCTCAGAAATATAGACAGATACATTATCCTGTTTGAAATCATAAATTTATCCTCTGATATTTTTTTTTCTGCATTTTGGATGTTTTGTCAAGAGGGGATAATCATGTAATTCATATTTTTCAACTTTCTGCATATTCAAAAATAAATAAAAACTTTGTTGCCACAAAACCAAAACTTAATTTTCCCCAGGGATTGATTTGAATTTCCTTATATCCAAATATATTCCCAGATTAAACTTGAAAAGACTTTGTTTTAAGTTCAAAGATAAAGAAACAGATTCATGAATTCTGCACCTGCATAAGTACAAAAACACATTTACTTCATATACTCAAGAATAGGTCACACTTTTTTTTTTTTTTTTTTTCCAAAATTTCAATAAAATCCAGGGGTGCAAACTATCCACTGAATATCATAGAGAATCTGAAATAGAGTGTGGGGCATATCAGTAGTCCAGGTGAGTACCCTAGGCTCGAGTGTAAGTGAAAGCAAGGGAGAAAATTAATTTCTCCCGACATTTCAATTTTATGCAATCAAGGTAATTGCATAAGATCCAAATGTCAGGAAAAATTCATTTTCTCCCTTCCAACAGTACCACATCACACACCGAATAAAAGTGCTCAATCTGCACTGCAAATATTTACCATTTATTATCTGATTTTTCAAGTGATTTTAAGACTGAAGCGATTACCTGTATCCAGATTTTCATCTAAACAAAGAAGCCCCACTCTTGATAAGTAGATGCAAATGAAAAGAATGTTTGACAGTGATGATGACAAAGAATTTTTGGGGTTTAAGTCCTGATGAAGTTTAATAACTATATCAAAATGAATAAACTTTTCTTATGTTCTAATATATGTAACCAAAGTTTTAAAATAAAGGTGAATATTTGAAAATATTTAAGAAATATTAGTTACATGGCCCCTTTTTTTTAATGTAAATATAACTCCCCAGATTATAGTACAACCTATCTGTGAGTCAACCGCAAATACCCACTTTGACAACCCCAAACTAAGGGGGCAACCTATTCATGAGTATAAACATTATGTAAAATGCAATAAAGATGAATTAAATTATCTAGCATCATTTATTCATCTGAATAATTCTATATGCCAGAAATCCTTACACTTTTTTCAAATTACAACTGGAAGAATATTCCCCCCCCCCCTGCTTTCTGGAATTTGGTTGTTTGACCTGTATTTTACATCTGCAATCTATAAAAGGTATTTGATGATAGATTTATTTTTTTAAAAATCTAATCTGGAGAATTTGGAAATATCTTGTACCATTCCTTATATTAATAAAGCATAGAAATATTTAAAAACATGCCCAGTCTATGAAAACACTTTAACTTGGCAGCTGAACAGCACCAATATTCAGAAAACTAAATTCTATACAAATTGAAATATGCCATGTTTTCTATTGCAATATATCAGTTTTGACACCAGCTTTGGTTAGGAATTGTTCATCTAATGAATGGTTGAGTTTTGGCTTTATTTGAAATGTTTGTTGGAAATGAGAATGAGACATTGAACAAAAGATGAAGTTTCTTTTTTAGTCAAAACCACTTCAAGCCATACAGGAAAACAAGAATACTTTAACCCCTCCTGCTTGTCTAATTATACATTGTGCGTCACTGATTGCTTCTTATACATTTTCAAGGTCACTCTGATATAGTCTAGTCACATGACATAAATGACCATATTTATCACCAACATGTTCTTGAAAAGAAATCTTTGGTTGAGCTAGATTACTGAATATATTACAAATTTGTGCTCTAAGAAGTTGATGTTGTTTTATTATTATATATATATATATATATATATATATATATATATATATATATAATTTTTTATATTTAATAGTCTTTTGGGTATTTTTTTTTTACAGAACGACCTGGTTTGAAGAACCCTGCACTAGTGGAAAAGTACCAGGAGAATTTTGTCAGTGCATTGTATAATTACGAGCATCAGAAACGCAATAATGGAGGCTGCGCATTTGCTATTTTGATCTCAAGATTAACTGAACTCAGAACAATCAGCCTGAAGCACTCTCAGGACCTGCTTGACCTTGAGATGGATCGAACATTCATCCCAGAACTTGTCAAAGAATTTTTCTCGATTGAATCAAAAGAAGAGACAACTTCACTCATGTAAATGCCTCTCAGACATGTTTCAAGAGTTTGGAATCAACAATGAAAAATAAGTACAATTATAAAAAGTTGGGTGGGGAGACAATGTTTTTCTTCATTTAAAAGAAGAAAAAAAAATTTCATTCAAATATATATATATATATATATATATATATATATATATATATAGATATGATGGAAGAGAAAAAGGAATGTTGCTTGTTTCATCTATTCTCTTCAAGTTGTTCATTCATTTAAATCATGTCACTGTTACATACACATTGTTTTCATAAAACTTATTGTTACTGCCATAAGACAAAAACTTTGAAAAGCAGAGGAAAGGGAACAAAATTCCTCCTTTTTTGTAAGTTTTTTTTTTTTCTTTAAATATGTTGATATTATTATTATTATTATTATTATACTTTCACACTTGTTATATGTAAGTTTTTGTTTTGTCACCTTTCTTTAAAAAAAAAAAAAACACTGAACATTGTGAGAATTAAAGAAAAAATAGAAGATGCAGGGTGTGTGGTACAATCAAGGAAAGAAAAATCAATGGAAAACTTCTTAAGGTTTGAAAATAAGAAATAATATAAAAATATTATTTACTAAAAGAAAAGAGAAAAATTATTTGTAAATCTCTCTCTATATATATATATTTATAAATGTACATAAAATTATAAATAGAATTTCCTGACTGGTGATTTCCCATTGACAAAGTCCCATGGTCATTTCCCTTAATTGATTTGCTGCCAAGTTTTTTCCTGCATATTTAGAAAGTACACTCGTTGAAGCTTTAAATGCTAAACATAATACACAAATATTGTCTTTTTTATTATAGGTTTTCCAGAATATTTTCATGATCCTTAATGAAAGTGACCAAACTAGGCTTTCATTCATCATAACTAAATTTAACTTTATAATGAGTAGGAAAAAAAAAGTTATTAAAAAAAATAATAATGATAGTTACTCTTTAATTCTCATTCCTGTTTTTCATCATTTCTTGCCTGGTTTTCCTTTTATCTTTTGCTTCTCTGTGATTACATACACACAAAAGCAAAAAAAAATAAAACTGTCTAATTATATATATATATATATATATATATATATATATATATATATATATATAAGATTGTATTCAGGGATGAAACATTGTCACCACTTGGTGCTTGTCTACTTTTATATTTACATGCGCTCTTTCTGATATTGAACACTGTTACCATATTTTTATCGTGTGTGTGTGTATATATATATATATATAGGATAACATTATATAATTTTTTTTATATATCAAGAACAATTTTAGAGGAAAGAAGTATGACAAATTGGAAAAACTTTATTTGTCCAGTGAAGTCCTAAAGGACAAAATGATTCACACAAAAACTTTCCACTTATGATTTTTTTTTTTTTTTTTTTTCAGTAACTTGAAGAGAAAAGCATTCTCCATGACAAATTAAGAGCTTTTATGATTTGATTCACAATCTCATGTAGCAGGAGGAAAATGTTATGACAAATTAATTTGATAAATTAATCTATACTAAAGTAAATAAAGTTATCCTCCTGATCGATTACTTTAGCTGCTCATTAGGATACTCAATTGCGACTCCATTTTATATGTATATATATATATAATATAAATTTTTTATATATCAAGAACAATTTTAAGAAGTATGACAAAGTGGAAAATGTTTTTGTGTGATGCGTTTTGTCTGATAAAGTCCTAAAGGATGAAACTCCTCACACAAAATCTTTTTCCACTCGTACTTTTTTCTCCTAAAATATATATATATATATATATATATATATATATATATATATATATATATATATAGTCTGTGTGTCTTTATATTAAGAAAAATATGAAAACGTGTATATTATACAAATGTAAAACATCCTATAGACTGGTGCTATATAACTCTTAAAGAGCTTTACCAAATGACACAAGCCACATCACTTGAAGACTTCCAACAGCAGCAAAAAAACAAAATGGATAGCACATGTAACTAGAAAGGAAAATGGTATAATCAAGATGTTGACTTTTCACACTACATTAAACAATACTAGAAAGTGATAAAAATTAGTAGATTTAAGCCTATTTTCCTGAAAAACGTTTTAAGAAAAAAATTTTTATAAACTTCAACCAACAGTAATGTTAACTGTTCAGTCAATGTTTGTGACTATTCTCATTATTACCATTCATTACTATAAATTTATGTATTTTCATTTTAACCTATAAAAATTAAATAAAAGTAACAAAATACTTATTGATACACTCAGGTGTGTATTTATATAAGTCTGTAGCCTGACAGTTATTGACTTAGTTATGATTTGAAATTTTTATTGTATAATGAAGTATTTTTTTCTCTCATTAAAACACACACTTATGATATACCTATGTATATTAATATAACAAAATTGAAGCTTCAATGATTGCAGTTTTTAAAGATGTGTTAGTGCCCAGGTAAGTATAGCTTGAGAACAAATCATTTTCCTTAGAATAAAATACCCGGTGGGGGATTCACCAGTGGCAAATGACCAGGAGGGAAATTAATTACTATTATTAACATATCTGTAAATAATATACAACCCTCATGTTTAATAAGACATGCTGAAAGAAATATGGTGAGATCTATTTCCTTAAGCCAGCTAATATCAATGTCCATATCAGGTTTAGTAAGGTAATGATTTTCTGAACCTTTCCTAAAACCAGATTTCCATTCAAAATGTTGAAGAGTTATGCAATGTTCACAAACCTAGGTTCTACAAATAAGCTTGTCATCTTTTTAAAGCATTCAAAAACATATATCTAATCTTATAATAAAATCCAGGAGAGTCTAGTGATGACTATACTTGAAAGAAAAATAAACACTGAATACAGGCTTAAAGACAGTGAAATAAGCAAGTTCTTCATACTTGAGGTGTCTCTTATCTAACTTGCCAATCATGTATTAAGACTTTTTTTTATTGAAAAAGAAAACCCACCTGGTTCTAGCAATAAAACAGTTTTTTGGTTTTTACCTTAGTAAATTTCATATTTTCTGTTAATTCATATAACCTTCCAGCTACCTCCAGCTTATTTAAGATAACACTCATGTAAACACTCCAATAAACCTACTAACTACATACATACCCTAGCAACTTGCACAAATTTATTCATTCATTTATGTGTGTTTGTACCTCTTCATAATTTGAGAAAAAAAAAGCAAAGTAATGAGAAACATTCCTTTGTACATTGTTGTAATCACAAAATTGCAAATATATTTACTCTTGCTCAAAAAAAAAATCATTTGTTGGAAGATTCTCAAAATGTTGACTGTAATGAATCTAGGGAGGGGAGTGTCAGGGCATGAAACAAAAATAAACGGTAGGGAAAAATAAAACAAATTATAAAATTTGAAACAAAAAACTCTAGTAGCTATTCTTTTTTACTTCAAGGAAATAATTCCAGTTTCACAATGAAAACAAAAAAATATTTGCAGTTGTACATTCAAGACATTGCAAATTTGTTGGTTGTTTACCTATTTTTATTTTTTTATTATTATTCCATATCCCTCAGCAAGATGTCATTTACTTAAACTTATTTCCCAGGAAACTGCTAAGTTCCAATTCTAATGTGGCACCAAAATATTTTATTAGGTGTGTGCAAAAGTTCCGCATAAACATTTTTTTTTTTTTTTTTTTTAACTAGATGAAACACAAAGAAAACCATTCTTTTCTTTAAATCTTTTGCATACACTTAATCATATTTCTTTAACTACCACTACACCAAAATTAATATTTGCTGAAACTTGTCTTTCATACATATAATCAATTACTAAAAGAAAAGTTTATAAATTCTATCATCTTTATGGTCATATTTTATTAATTGCGTATGTAGTAATGTATTATTCAAGGTTTCTGCTGCAAATTTTACTATTAAAAAGAATTATAGGAAAATTCAGTCAATGTCTAAATCATAAAATTTCTGTAACCATACAGTCATGTTTAAAATTTCTTTTCGATTGCTATGAAATTTTTCTGTGGGAAAATGATCAGCTGAATTTAGACAAAGACAAGCAAATATTTTTTTTTTTTTTTTTTTTTTTATCCAGCACCTACCACATGGTATTTTTTTTTCTTAGATGTTCAGTCCACCAAAACTTGAGAAGCAAGAACCAAACCCAACTGTAGAATGAAACAATATACATATTTTGTAAAACTTTTATCTAGGAATAACATTGGTAAAGAAACAGCAAGAAAAAAAAATCACAAAACAGTTGGTATGAGTAATATTGGAAAATATAGAAGTAAATTGTTTTAAGTGCAAAATCTTTTAAGTTAAAATTTTAAGATATAGAAAAGAAAAGGTGGGGCATATGTAAATGTAAAACAAATATTTGACTATATTTTATACATAAACAATTTTTAAATCTTAGCCAAGGATAAATATGAAAAATGAATAAATATGCATCTTTGAATGGGGGGAGGCTTATTTTATTTTCATTTTGTAAATTAAACATAAAATAAGAATTTATCTTAATTCAGAATGTAATTAAAAACATTGTCTTACCAAGTTGATACAATTAGGATTGGAACTCAGAAAAATATAATGACCAAAAGAAAATTGCTGAATTTAAATGGCAGTGCGACTGAAATGATAGGCATTTTCTCAGTAAAAGATGAGACATCAGAATGGTAATTTAAACTGAAGATTTGAATCTAATTTGCCTGTTGCTTCTATGTTTTAGAATTTATATAGAGCACATATATATCATTAAAACAAAAAGGTTTTATAAGGCTACATGCTTTACTCAACTAAATAGTAATGATAAAAGTATATGAAGATGCACGTTTAATTGTTGTTTTAAAAATTATTCTCTTGGTAACTGCTTGACTTTCTTACCATTTGTTATATTGAATCTTTCTTTTTCTTCCTTGAAAGATAAAAATGGTGCCTCAAAACAATATTTTAAAATATTTTTCATGAAAAGCAAAAGAATTAAAATAAATACTATATTCTAGATTTCCATCAAAAAGTGAGTTTAA